ACTGCCGCCACCACGACCCGGCCGCCGCTCGCAGACAGGGCTATCTCCCGCGGCCACACGAGCCAAGACTCAGAGCCCAGACCTCGGCCCCGCAGCACCCCGCGATACAGCGGCCACCTCCCCGCCCGACAGCGCGGCCAGCCGCCGGCTGGGGCTCCGGCAGTCCTCTACGCCCCCAGCCACGTCCCGGCTGGCAGCCAGCCCCAGCCCCGACCCAGAAGGAGAAGACGGCGTAACACCTCACCCTTGACTTTGCCGAAGGTGCCGACGCCAAGCGTGTCGCCTAGGATATAGTGCCCAATCTTCACTCGCCCGTGCTCGTGCTTCTGTTTATCTGCCGCCGCCATCTTGAGCCAAGAGCCGAGTCTGCGCATAGTGCTGGGCCGGGCCCCCGGCGAGGAGGAGCGCCCGCCCGCAGCCGGCCCCCGGAAGTGAGCGCCACATTTCTCCCTTCCCGCCTTCCGCCGGCGTGAACTATTTCCGGTATGGGGCGGAGGCGGCGTGCTCTGCTACTTCCGGATTGAGTGCGGTTTTTGGGTCTCGTAGGTCTTCATGGCACTGTCGTGAGGGGGTGTCTTCGCTGCGTACCTGCTCTTAATTCAGAAACGGCCCAGCCGTGGCTCAGCAACGGGCGGCCTTTCGGCGTGTAAGATGAAGAAGGCTGGCAGAGCCATGTTTCTGTCACTATGTTGTACTCTGCCTGCTCCCTCAGAGAGGTAGCTGAGAAGAGTTAGCTGCCACCAAACCAGTCCTCCTGCTCCCATGGCAGCAAATTCAGCCTTCAGAACAAACAGGCCTGTCAAGTCTTTGCATTTCTAATCAATGTCACAGATTAAACCTGTTAGTTTTTCTCACCCATTTCCCTTCACCTGGGCCAAATCCAGAGCCAGCAGAATTCCAAGGGGAATAGGTGAGTGGGACCTTCCTGAGATGGAAACAGAACTGCCTTACCCACTCATTTACGATCAGTGCAGTGGTGCTTCTGGCCCTGAGAGTCCACCTGCCTGCTGCTCTGCCTTGATGCACTTTTTACATACCACAGACCAACAGCTATTCTTGCCTGCAAACATTATTTTCAAATTGTTTTCCTACCATGCCTTCAGATGGAATTAGAAGAAGAGCATCAATTAGGTTGTCCATACTGTGGTCCAGAGGAGGGCCACAAAGATGGTGAGAGAGCTGGAGAACTTCTCCTATGAAGACACTGAGGGAGTTGGGTTTCTTCAGCCAGGAAAAGAGGAGCCCTGGGGAGATCTCACTTCAGTCTTGCAGTACTTAAAAGAAGCTTGCAAGTAGGAGGGAGAGCAATTATCTAATAGTGATAGGATAAGGGGAAGGCCTTTAAATGGTGGGAAATTTAGGGTTAAACGTGGCAAGGCACTGGCACACATTACCAAAAGAAGTTGTGAGTGGCCCATCTCTGAAGGCACTCAAGCCCAGGTTCAACATAACCCTGGGCAGCCTGACATGGTGGGTGGCAACCCTGCCCATGGAAGGGTTAGAACTAGATAGACCTAAGCCTTTCTGTGATAACTGGGCAGTTATTTGTCCTGGGAAGATCACTGACTCAAGGGGAATGTTACTGCCAGACCCCAACCAGACTAAGTGAGTGACAGCAAATGAAATGCTTTCTCCTGCCTCACTGAAGCACAGCCACTGAACTATTAGCAAGCACAAGCATAGCACTAATTTACTTGAATATCAATTCCATAATCTAATAAGGCCTCAGCTTGTAAGTGCTAACATTACAAGGTATTTGATGTTGATTTATATAAACTTACCACCTTTTTACTGTATGACATTTTATTCGCCACCATTACCTCCTACTCCAGCAGCAGAAGAGTAAGTATCAGGGATAGACATTGTATTTTGAAAACATTTTAACAGAAGGCCAGTTAGTAGGCTCTCATCTGAGAAACTCACAGGAAAGAAACCATGAGAGAACTATGAATAGTTGATAAAAGCTTAAGAGATACAAAAAACAAGCATGTAATGAAAACAAATGTTTGACTGCGAGAGTTTAATGCTGCTCAGTTGCATGTGAAACAGGTGGCAGCTGCAAATATTGGAGCAAAAAACCTGAAATAGTCTACCAGTATTTCTTGGATGTGAGAGAAGTGTATGGTAGGAATGCAGATATTTGATAAAATAGCTAAAAAAAAACTTTTCTAAGTGTTCCTTAGTTATTTACAGAATGCCAGTGATTGATTACATTTCAAATTCTGAAGAAAATTCAGAGCACTACAGGCCTTAGTTCCTAACAGTAAGAAGGCTGTGCTCTTTTCATTTTCCCATGTTATTACAAACAAGAGCTCATTTTTAGTAAAAACAAAATACAAGTGGAGCCTGCTAACAATTTAGTCTGCTTGGTTCTTCAGCTATTATCTGTTGGGAAAATACATTTCAAGTAGGAATCCACATTTGAGCTTTGCTCCTTCATTTTTTTCCCTCATCTTCCTGTAAAATTTTTGTAGTTACAAAACAAGGTGACCTAGATTGTGTAATCAGGATCTAGGTGCTTGAAATCTGTATAGTATCCAATGTACAGCTTGTGGTAATCTGTAATACTATAGGAAAATTACTGCATTTGCAGGACTCCGTATCAAGTTTTAATACAAAAGCGAAGGTTAAGAATCTAGAATAGTAGTGAAGCTGCCTGTGGAAAACTTTCTGCTAGGTCTTAAAATCATTGTCGTGAGTCAAAGCACACTATTCACGTAAATTCTTAAGGAAAACGTGATTAACTTCTCCCCAACTTTTTTCTCATAGATCCTGTATGTTAGAGCCACCTTTTCCAGGAGGCTCCTAAATCTAGTGGATTTTGTTTCCTTCTGTCACTGTTCCAAAAACAACTAGATCAGTCTCCACACTTAATACAACAGAGAATTAGATTTCAGCTTCTACATAAAATGAAATTAGTACTACATGGTAGCATACTAATTGTAGACGCATCTACAGCTGTTCCTATTGTGGGGGCAACAACCTCACACTGACAAAAGTCAAAACACCCTTGCCAGTGCACACATGAAAATGAGCTAAAATAGGTGCTAATATTTATGTGTTTTTGCAGGAAGTACAATATTAAAAGGCAAAATTATCTTTAGGGTATTAGCTTTTATTAACTGCAACATATAAACAAAGTCACTCTACTGTAAAACTAAAACTCTGGGTTTAAAGTAATTTTCTAATTAGTTGTCTGTTAACTGTGGCTCACTACACCTTCAATAGCTGTGTCAGATTGTCAGGTCTTATACTTTTGATTTATCAGAGGAATCAACATAGATGAAATACTGCTCCATGGCACTAGGCAGAATTCCTCCATAAAAGATGGATACTCAGAACTCTGACCCTCATTGTCAAGCTGGCAAGGACCTCTCTTCCTTTTTAAATTCTGGTATTGTTACTTCTAGAGCTAGACATTGGAACACTGACTTTGAGAAACTTTTAATTTAAATAAAAAGATCGGCTGTTGCCTGGAAACAGAATTCTTGCTTCAATCAATATGAAATTTGATAATTTTTCATGTAATTTAGACTACATGGTCTAATAGTCTCTTGGATTACCTGTGCTTGATCTATCAGTCAGAGGGAAGCAAAAATCACGGATCTAAGTTAGTTCTACACATAATGCTCTAAAGAGCACAGTACAAAGGCTCAATTCTAATAACTCCTGAGCTAGGATTATTTTACCAACTTTACAAGAGATTGTATACAAAAGAAATCACCAAGGCATTTTCAGTTTTCAGCACTTAGGAGAAACAGTAGGAAGTGAGTACCTGAGAGTCTACATTCAGCAAAGGCCAGTTCATTCTTCTAGGCCAGTTGTGACAGACGTACTGCTGAGCTACCTGAGCTTTTCTGAACATTTACCATAACCTAAATGAACTTAATACCTGCCTCTCATCAATAATTTTAAGAACAGTTGGAAATGTAGCAAACCTAACGCTGCTTCAGAACATAAATTAATGATGAAACCAAAAGAACTACAAGCAGTTTCAGAAGCTTAAAGCAAGTATCAGGTTCCTTCCCACTTTATCCTAATTTCCTTTTCAAGGCACCTGAAAATCATCCGTTGTAGGATCACCATCCTCTATTATTTTAAGTCAGTTTTAAAGCCAGCAAGGACCCAGAAACACAGTGTAATATCTAAGCTCATCAGGTCTCAGTCTGTAATTCAGACATACTTACATGTGACCTGCCCTCATCTGCATCTTACTACCTATCATTTGATTTACTTGTTCACACTCAGCTTAACTTACCTATTTTTCCCCTTCACATTGATTTTCCAACATGGTTTGGATAGTTTTCTTTTCCAGGCAATACAGCCCTTGGAGTAATTTCTCCCACCCTACCCCACGAAGCAGTGACCCAGTGAATAAGTAATACTTTAGTTGGCCTTTCAGAGTCACAAAATAACGAACAATGTGGCTAACTCTGGGCATCCATCTGAAACTACTGCATCTCAGAACAGCACTTAAAGCCATTAGCCACATTACTGGATTTGAGACGAATTCTCCGTGTTACCATTTGCTGTGTCTGTGAATTACCCAGAAAAACTTAGGAACAAGCCCACAGCCAGCATTCAATTTCTCTTGCAAGTGGAATTTCTCAAATAACCCATAAAAGCCTCTTTTTAAATGCAGCGCAGAGATAATGACTGTTTCCAACGTAAAGATGCTATCAAATGAGGAGTCAAGCAAAGAATTAATTTTAATGTATCTTTTCGTATCACTGAAAACTGTATAAGTATACATATTTTCAGATATCCCCTTTTTCACTGAAGTACATATATAAAAGGTGACATTTTATGAATAAGACCATTTATTTTAGCAAATAGATGAGTCTTTATGATGAGCTGGATGCTGCAACAGCTGCTCTCTTCGGCTTCGGTGTGGTTCCCTCACGGAATCCATTCCTGCAAGTAATAATACAGTTACCATGTGCTGAAAAGTGGGTACTTCCTCAAGGCTGTTTTATATACTAAGTAATACGCTTTTTTTCAGCTTATCTCAGTAATGCACTGAAATCACTATGAAGTTCATATGTTCAGACATTTTATTAAGAAACATCATTGACAAGCTGTTTGGAATACACGGTATTGTCTTCTCTCTCTTCTGAAAAAGTAAATTTGACATTTTCAAATAGAAAAACTTTAGTAACCAGTAAAACTCAGATACAGTACATCTACTCTACTGAAGGCACCCCATTGTTTAGGTAGCTCAGCAATTTCTTGCAGAAATTTTCTTACAGAAATTCTCTATGCTCTTAAAAAAACTAGAACAGTAGTGACAAAAAAGTCAGTTTTAAGCTTGCTATTCTATGCAACACTGATATTTCAGCCACTCTTAGGGGAATGGGGGTTGCAGTTGCACAACAAAGTATTTTCTGGCTGCAACTGGGGAAAACTGATAATTAAAAGAAAAAACCCATACAAAGGATCCTTCAACTACACCCAGCTCCAGAACTTAAATCAGGTAATTTCACAGTATAGTACCCATACTGTAGTATAGTACCCATACTGTAGTATAGTACCCATCCCTACAGTATCCTATAAGAACAGCTCAAAGCTTCACACTGACTTCTAGAAACCTGTAACACAAAATCTGATGAACAGCTACTTACTGCTAATTGAGCTCTAAGTAACAGAAAAATAGGTAATTTGTGTGTGTGTGCATAAGTAGGGGGATTGGAACACATTTTGTGAATTCTGCTACAAAAATCCACACTAGAGTGCAACCAGCAACTTAAGTGACTTACAAATACAGGCAATGGCAAACAAAGCACTATTCTCTTTCAAGTGCAGCCATTTTATTACTGTACCCTGTGTTCTGTATCATTCATATTTAAAAGAAACATCAGAGCTTCTTATGCAACCTGTGTTACTAACAGCAAGCTTTTCAACCTCACAGCAACATACTGTGCATCCTTTATATCACAGCATATTTTAGAAGATCACACCATTCTCAGTGTTCTAAAAAAACATGCCTACTCTGGGTGACTGATTTTATAATCAGGTGAATACACAAGATATCATGTTACACTAATTAACAATGACACATCATACCTGAAGCGACGGTACACCTTTTTCAGGTGCCTCATGCGACCAGTACCAGTGGTGTTGCGTCTTTTAGCCTTTGCGCTCCAGTTGTCTGGAATATATAAATTACTGTTAATGCTGATCTGCACAACTATTCACTAACAGAAGTACAAAAAAGTTTTAAACAAGATCAACTTTTACATAGTAACACTACAGACAGCTAATTTAGTTTCAAAAAGGCATCAAACACCAAATTATTCTTCCCTAGTCTGAAAATAACCTGACATCCCAAAAACAAAGAAACACAAGCATTTAAACTCAGGTCAGTCAGAACTTCCTTACTTACACTTTCTCTTACGCTTGGCAGGGTATCCACATTTCCCACAGGTAGACTTCTGCAGGTGGTATGCCTTGGACCCACATCGACGACACAAGGTATGTGTCTTATTCCGTCGCTTACCAAAGGATGATGTACCCTTTGTCTGAAAAACATTTCAAGACACTTGTACATACCAGAAGGAATAAGCTTTAAAAAAAAAAAAAAAAAAAAAACAAGCACTGTTCTTTAAAACCAGTAAACATGATGATGGCACGCTGCACTCAGGCACCAACCCTGTAGGCCAATACCTGTAGGCCTCCTCCATTTTTAAAGATCAGCTCTTTACAAGTCTCTTTGCCATCCAGCCCTGTCCCCCACCTGCCGCTGAACGAAACTACCCAGCAGTTACCATCGAAGCTGCCCCCAAACTCATTAATGTTAAATTTCTTCCCGAATAAAGGTAATTCCATCAGTAACGTCAGACATACGCTCGCCACCGATCATTGCCGATTCCCCTCTAAGCTAGCCCCGGCCCGCTCGGATCCACATTACTGAGAAGCCCCTTGCAGACAGCGCAGCCCCGTAACTCCCGCTTGAGCAGACGCCCCGCGTTCGCTCTCCGCAGCGAGACCGGGCCCGGGCCCAGCGCCGCGCCCGCCACCAGGCTCCCAGGCCTCGGCACAGCAGCCGCTGCCCCGCGGAGCCATCCTGCCACCAGGCCCGGCTGCAACAGTGCACGGGGCCATTCCGAGCACCATACGAGGCGCGCCGGCCGCTAGGGCCCGTCCCTGTGGCGGATGTCGGCCGATGCCCGCGCCAGCAGCACCGCACTCACCATCTTCGCCGGCCGCCAGCACCAAAGAGGCCGAGCCCCGCCCCGCTTCCGCTATAACCCCCACAACTGCTTCCGGGTGCGCGGCGGGGCTCGGCGTGGCGGAGCGGAAGTGCCTTCCGCGAGCTCGGGTTGGTTCCCTGTGCTGTATGTATGCGGTGCGGCCGCCTGGCATTGGTGCTTGTGTTGTGCTGCCGCGCCGTGCCGCGGCTGCCGGGGAGCAGAGGGTGGGGTGCAGTTGTCTGTAATCTTACATTGCTGGTAAAGAAAATAGTATCTCGATAAAGCTGTGTTACTCACTGAGTGAGCTGTTCTGTGTTCCGCGCGGTCCGCTGCAGCTCATGCCAGGCTGTAGGATCTAATTGATAAGCTCGCAGAGAGCTCTTCTCACAGTTTGCACCCGGGACGTTGTGGTTGCAGTACACATCAAAAGAACAGCCATAAACAGAGACCCCACTGCTGTCCACCACATCCCACAGCAACCTGTCAATTGTCCAAAGCAATCACTGAGGCAAAATAGATTCTAGCATAGATACACCACATAAATTCTTACATGCTAGCCTACTGTACACCTCCAGCACGCTTACAGTCTGTAGAAAATTGCACCTTAGAAAGTGGCCCAGGTTACTCGGCCAGCTCTTTCATTTTAGCAGTTTCTGCCCCCAGAATAAAACTGAAGGTGAAGTCTACACCTTGCATCACCGATTTTACCTGAAAGTCTTGGCATCTAGTCTGTCCATGTTCTGCCTGTAGTTAAAGGGGAGAGATAAACATTTCCAAAGGGAAGTTGTCTCACCTTATATGAGGGATCCAAAGTGGGCTACACAAATTGTTATTGGGAAGAGCCCTTCTCCTAACAGGAGCCTAGACAGCCCCCTTAGGCAAGGTACATAGATGGCTAAACATAGGTAAGATGACCTTTGCCCTAACAGAATGGAAATATTTTTAAAGAATCTATTTTCTTTGAGAAAAGAGAAGAAAAGAGAAAGAAGGGAGAAGGGGAGGGGAGGGAAAACAGTTTCCCATGGATGAAATAAATACCATACAGAGAAAATATACCAACTAGCTCAAACATTGTGAATACATTGTACAGACACAGCAACCTTGCTGTGCGTCTTTTAACTGGTACCTCCTTTCCTCTTTTCTCTTAATCTCAGAAAATGAGGATGCTGAGAAGAGGCTGGATAGATGCCATGGTAACAGCCTCCCAAAGAAGTGTGCTAGTTTGGTGTCCTGCAAGGATATGCTACCAAATAATTATTCTCATCCACTGTAGGATAAAAATAATCAAGTTCATTTAAATGTTTTCAAACCTGCCAGGAGATAAGGACTTCTGCTATCACCATGCAGTCAGTGTTCAGGAACAATGGAAATGTACATGGTGGGGAGTGAACAAGTCTGTGGCTAACCCAGCACCACCCAGCAGCTCTCAAGCTCCATCTGAGTTGCAGCTGAGGACTGTGTATACTGCGGCTAGTGAGCTGAGGCCTACTTAAAACCATGGGCTCATATAATAATAGCTGCCAAGTGGTACCAGCCTAAATTTAGCACTGGCCAATTCACTCTTATCCAGTGGGACAGCAGGTGTTCCAAGAGACACAGAAAATCTGGATTTCAGAGCTGTCTTTCTGATGCAGGAAATGGCAGTCTGTCACTGCAGCATGTGTCCCAATGCTGTTTCCGTGCAGCACCTGGCATCCAGTCAGTGTTGGAGCAATGTTGGCACATAATGTGATCATAGCACCCATCTAGCTAGGGGCTTATTGGATACTGCGGAAGCAGGAGCCTTTCTATGTATCCCTGTTATAACACCATATTCTGCAGCCCACCTGATTTGGTTAGGGATGAAAAACCAAAGCCAGTTATAACAGTGGAGATGCCCACTCATTTTTCCTTTTATCCCTCAGTACATAAGGTCCTTTTCCTCAGCCTGATCTGGTGGTCTTCCACAATGGAGTGACAATATCAGTGGACAGAGGAAAGGCAACTGATGCTGTGTTCCTGGACTACTGTAAGGCCTTTGACATGGTCCCATACCACATCCTTATATCTACATTGGAGAGATATGAGTTCACAAGATAAGTTTCGATGGATAAGGAATCTGTTGGAAGGTCACAGCCAGAGTGTTGTGCTGGTCAGCAGCTCTATGTCTAGATGGATGTGGTGACAAGCAGTGTCCCCCAGGGGCCAGGTACTCTTAAACATTTTTATCGGTGACGTAGGTGATGGGTTTGAGTACTCCCTCAGCAAATTTTGCAGATGGCACCACTGTATAGTGTAATTCATACAACAGAAGGAAGGGATGCCACGTAAAGGGAATGACAAACTTGAAAGGTTGGCCCATATGAGCCTAATGTGGTTCATCAAGTCCAAGTGCAAAGTGTTGAACTTGGGTCAGATCAATCCCAGATATGCGTACAGACTAGGAGAAGAACTTGAGAGCAGCGCTGCAGAGAAGGATGTTAGGATCCAGGTATTTGAAAAAGTTAACATGAACCAGCAGCCTGTGTTTGTGGCCCAGAAGGCCAACAGTATGCTGGGCTGCATCAAAAGAGGGGTGGCCAGCAGGGAGAGGAAGGTGATCATCCCCTCCTCCCCCCACTCAGCTGTCATGAGACCCCATCTGGATTATTGTGTCCAGGTCTGGTGTTCCCAACACAAGAAAGATGTGGAGCTGTTTGAGCAGGTCCAGAGGACGGCTGTGAGGATGATATAAGGGCTGATGCACCTCTTCTATGAAGACAGGTTGAGGTAGCTGGGCTTGTTCAGTCTGGAAGAGAGAAGGTTCCGGGGAGACTTCATTGCAACCTTCCAATACTTAAAGGCAGATTGTAAACAGAAGGGACCCTGAAGGCTGACTTTTGACATGGATAGATGGTTGATAGAGCAAGTT